GAAATAATGATTCAAAATTAAAATATCTTTAAAGATCAGTTTTCAATGACTGATAGATGTAACAACTTGGACAAATCGCTCTTAACCCAACCGGGCTGGGTAAAAGAAGCCAGTCTGCAAAGGCGACATACTGTGTAATTCCATTTATGTAACATGCTAGAAAAGGTAAAACTATAGTGATGGACAACAGACTGGTGATAGCCAGAGGTTAGGGGTGGAAGCAGCACAGGTCTATAAAGACAGCAAAATAAAGTGATAGACCTGGCCTACATTCTCGTGTTGGTGACTACACAAATAAATACTATGTTAAAATTCACAGAACGCTATACTGAAAAAAAAAGTCACTTTTACTACATAATTCTAAGGTTTTTTTTTAATCAGTGATTTCAAAAATACACTAATGATTTTATCATTTACTGAGGTACTGTGCTACGCCCCCTTCCTGTTTTGTTTTATATTCACCCAATGTTATGAGATAATTATTATTAACCCTATTTGAGGAAAAGGAACACTTGAGGCTCAGAGGTTCAGTAACATGCCCAAAACCATACAGTGTGTAAGGGATGGACCACAATTCCAACCCAGATCTGATGCCAAAGGCTATATTCTCAACCACTACCAAACACTACACTACACTCCCCTCTGTTCATAAATATCAACCACTCTGTCCCTCCCAATGACAATATCAGGAGGCTATTGTTTCCTTATTCTGAACTCAATACACTATTGATAACGTGAACATAGGGAGAAGCAAAACATGATTCTAGAGCAGTGATGTCCAACTGAACTTTCTCCAATAATAGAAATGTTCTGTATTATGTGAACTACCAAAATATGGTAGCCTCTAGCTACAGGTGGCTACTCAGCACACATGGCTAGTGTGACACTGACTTGAACTGGACAGCACAGTTCTAGAGAAATAATGTGACAAGAATGTACATGCCACAGAAAGAAGCAATTTATTAAATTATGATGGTAACTCACCAACAATAAAAGGAAAATAATTCAAGGGAGATGTAAAGGAATGAAGCTAAAAAATGCACCCCCCCCCCCAAAGCACGTCACAAAACTAAGTCTATCCTTTTTTTTTTTTTTTTTTTTTTTTAATACGGAGCCTTGCTCTGTCGCCAGGCTAGAGTGCAGTGGCACCATCTCCGCTCACTGCAACCCTCCGACTCCCTGGTTCAAGCGATTCTCCTGCCTCAGGCTCCCGAGTAGCTGGGATTACAGGCACGCACCACCGCGCCAGGCTAATTTTTGTATTTTAGTAGAGACGGGGTTTCACCATGTTGGCCAGGATGGTCTCCGTCTCCTGACCTCAGGTGATCCGCCCGCCTCGGCCTCCCAAAGTGCTGGGGTTACAGGCGTGAGCCACCGCACCCGGCCACTAAGTCTATCTTCTGAACACCTGGTCACCCTCCAAGATTCAGCTGAAGTATCAACTTTATCTACACACCCACAGCACTCTGCACATGTGCGGTATAGAATAAATTGTATACTAAGTTTATCTGTGTTTTTCTCCCCCAATGGACCGTGAGCACCTGAAGAGCAGAGATAAGTATTCATACATGCACCACCAGCATCCAATACCTACATCCAGATGCTTTCTGCAACAATAAACACTTTTTTCACTCAGTTTGAGTGGGAAAATGATCATCTTAGATCCTTTAACTACAAATTCAACTCAATTCTGCAAGCATTTGAGTACCAGAAGTATACATAAAAAGAGGTACCTGCCCTCAAGGAGCTTACAGTGAGAATGAGGGATACAAGATATAGGTAGACAAATAACAAGTAAAAAGGGTAATCAAAATTAATTGCGTACAAACAGTACTTTAGGACAGAATAGAAACCGTCAGGAATCATAGTGGTAAGCGAAAACTGAAAAATGATTTAAGTAGCCATTATCCGGCCGGGCACAGTGGCTCATGCCTGTAATCTCAGCACTTTGGGAGGCCAAGGCGGGCAGATCATCTGAGGTCAGGAGTTCGAGACCAGCCTGGCTAACATGATAAAACCCCATCTCTACTAAAAATACAAAAATTAGTCGGGTGTGGTGGTACACGCCTGTAATCCCAGCTACTTGGGAGGCTGAGGAAGGAGAATCACTTGAACCCGGGAGGTAGAGGTTGCAGTGAGCCAAGATCATGCCACTACACTCCAGCCTGCACAACAGGATTAAGACTCCATCTCAAAAAAAAAAAAGTAGCCATGATCCCATTCTGTGAAGCAAAGGCGTAAGATAACTTATTATATCCCAACCTATTATTTAGAAAAGCCTAATGGATTAAAAAATAATTTTAAGGAAGTCTTTAGAAATTTATCCTGCCTTCACTCACTACCAACATCATCCTATTCCTTATATCACTAAGCTAAAACTAGTCTTAGAACAAAATCCTTCCAGATCAAAAATTCTATGAAAATTTCACAGCATAAAGAAGTGTAGTCTTCTTTACACTTTTACACTTAAATTCTCATCAAGTCACAACATCCTTCTGGGTTCTCAAAATGGGCTAATTGGAATTAGTTTGCACAGTACATCTCATGGTGAGTATACAGGCAGCATCTGGAACAGTCTGTTCAAAGTAGTTTGAAATCATTTAATAAGTACATTTTCTGTTTCCTCTAAAAATGAACAGGAGGGGTGCTAGTATGAGGAATATAGACACCAAGCATTATCTGTATTTTAAAGCACATTATAATATGGAGGTCTGCAAACTGGAAGACTGGCAGTTATACAGCGTAATTTCTTAATTTTCTCATCTTTATCAGCTCACGTTATTCATGACAAAGGTCAGAGAAAATTTGTGAGATTTTCCTAGAGTGAATGACCTTGGGCTGCTTAATTAAATTATTTGAGCCTGCTTCCTCAAATTGAAGATTGAGAAGGAAGTGTGACTAGATGCCCTCAGAGAGAAAAACTGAACTAAGATAATTACTTACAGGTTGACTTCAGCATGGCTTTTGGTTCAATCCTAACTCATCTTTAAAATCGAAAAACAGGCCAGGGCGGTGGCTCACGCCTGAGATCCCAGCACTTTGGGAGGCAGAGGCAGGTGGATCACCTGAGGTCAAGAGTTCGAGACCAGCCTGGCCAACATAGTGATACCCCATCTCTACTAAAAATACAAAACTAGCCGGACGTGGTGGTGGGCGCCCGTAATCCCAGCTACTAGGGAGGCTGAGGCAGGACAATCACCTGAGCTCGGGAGGCAGAGGCAAGGCTGCAGTAAGCTGCGATCACGCCACTGCACTCCAGCCTGGGCGACAGAGCAAGACTCCATATCTAAATAAACACATAAAATATAAAGTGGAAAAACATATAAATGTGGCACCTATTAAAATACGTCCATAATTCTTTGATACTCTTCCCTTGAGTTTGGGCTGGACTTTTAAGTGACTTGTTTTTAATAGGATATGGCAGAAGTGATAGTGTGTGGCCTCCTCTCTGCTCTTGCTTGAGTCACCTACTCTGGGGGTAGCTAGTCTCTGATGTGAGGACACTCAAGCAGTCCAATAAAGAACTTCCACCATCAGCCATAGCTGACTTGCCAAACGAGAGCCACCTTGGGACCTCATGAAAAACCCTGACCCAGAACCACCTAACTAAGCTACTCCCAGATTCCTGACCCACAGAAACTACATGAGATAAACACAAGTTTATTGTTTTAAACCACTAAGTTTTGGGTTAATTTGTAACAGCAAGAGAATACACCAGTATTTTTTAAATAGTGGGTCCTGAGACTCGTTAGTGGTTGAAAAAAATCAATTTAAGGCAGCAATATCAACTTTAAAAAAAAAAATAGAAGATAGTAGAGTATATTACTCTTAATACAAGCACTATTTCCTAAAAATTGTGTTTGTTTTACATGTATGCGTATACTAGGTGCAATTTAAAATGTGTTTCTTATAACTACAGCTGAAAACATTAAAACCCACAAGTCTAATCAGTAGGTTTAAAACAAAAAGCTCCCTAAAGCATAGGGAGTTCCTTCAGGGACTCTGGTCTCAATAACAACCAACTATAAAACAAGCATTTTCTATAAACTTTATGACCAAAGCAACGAAATGTAAGACACTCTCACAATACATCTTTTCTGATGTATACACTAAGCTTGATACACAACACACAGGACATGGTTATCTGCCCTAGAGTTTAATGTTTAACATGTAAAAGTATGTCATTTTCCTAATTTAAGAAATTTCTCAACAGGACTTCCTTCATAAAATTAGTGAAAAATGCTGCTTTGGACTCAAACCGCATTTATTTTTTCCTACTATTATTATTATTTTTTTTTAATCAATGTTAAAGGAAATTTCATCTTCAACCTAAGCACACACACACTCACAAACACAAGAGATCTAGCACTATTAAATTGTTTTCTGGGCTGGGCACGATGGCTAACACCTGTAATCCCAGCACTTTGGGAGGCTGAGGAAGGTGGATCACAAGGTCAGGAGATGGAGACCATCCTGGCCAACATTGCGAAACCCTGCCTCTACTTTAAAAAAAAAAAAAAAAAAATTAGCCGGGCATAGTGGCGGGCACCTGTAGTCCCAGCTACTAGGGAGGCTGAGGCATGAGAATCGCTTAAAACCAGGAGGCAGAGGTTGCAGTGAGCCGATATCGCGCCACTGTACTCCAGCTTGGGCGACAGAATGAGACTCCATCTCAAAAAAAAAAAAAAAAAAAAAAGTTCTCTGCTCATTGTCCAAGTCTCATTGGAACTATTCTCTTCAGAATACAAGCAAGTGCATATTTTTATGGTTGTGTCTCAGCAGAACACAAACCAAAACTTTCAGCAACACCAGACTGCAGAATATTCATGCAATCTTTTGATGAATCCACTCAGATTGCTTGCACTGTGATTTTCTTTGAAGTAAAAAGTGTTAAAAACTATTTCTGAATTCCTAATTTACCAGATTCTCAAAATACCAAAATAAATTGGCACATAATCAAAGAGTGATTTAACTTTTTTTTCCTTTTTAGATAGGATCGCACTCTGTTGCCCAGACTAGGGTGCAGTGATGTGATCATGGCTCACTGCAGCCTCGAACTCCTGGGCTGAAAGCGATCCTGCCACCTCAGCCTCCCAAGCTGAGATTATAGGCCCACACCACCATGCCTGGCTAATTCATTTTTTCTAATACATGGGATTTCCTTATATTGTCCTGGCCCATCTGCAACTCCTGGGCTCAAGCCATCCTTCTGAAAGTCCTGGGATTACAGGTGTGAGCCACCACGCTCAGCCTTTTTATTTTTCTTATTACTGTACTAGGGACATTTGTGACTTTCCCACAACGAGACTTAGTAGAGAACTGAAAGCTTCCCTTGGCCTTATCCTGAAATACACTAACTAGCTCTTACTTGCCACGGCTGTTTTCTCCTCAACCCTTGCAGATATATGTATCCATATAAATGTTTCTATTTCAACAAGTTGTAGAAAATATACAGTCTGTATAGCTCTCTTTATAATGCTATTACTTGATGATCCTGACTACAAGTTGGAATTATCTGCATACTTGGCAAAATTCAAGTGTGGCTGCCTATGCCTCAAGAGAATGAGCAGCAAACCAGCCCAGTCCTAAATTCGAGTAGCAGCTCTTGAAGAGAATAGGATGCACTTGATAGGCTTTCTTTAGGACTGATACTCAGTTTCTGGGCTTACCCTTGGGTTTCTTTCTATAAACCTATAGAGTGGAGCGCTAGGAAATACTCTGATCTCAAAAATAAGCATAGTTACTTTGACTTAAGACCAATTACTCTACACACATAGGCAAATTTCTGCCCAATGGTATCAAGTTCAGCATTAGTTATGCCCACTTTTTCTTTTATTTTTTCTTAAATCAGTATCACTCTTCACATGAGCACTCCACCAACACCATAAGGTTGAAAAATTTCAGAATGAAAGTCCAAAAGAATTAAGAACCTACAGATCTCTATGATTCTCTACAAAATAATCAACATCATTTTAGTTTCCTAATAAGATGAGATGGACCTCAATACTCAAGTCAATCCAAGGAACCAGGCATGCCAGTCTGAAGGCCAACTTTGATGTTCCAGTGACAGCGCTGCAGTAGAATACTAAGATCAGAATTTGGTTTTGGAGGCAGACATTTACTCACTAAAGTCACTTATCTAGTTGATCAAAAAACAGTAAAGTTCAAGGCAAGTGTACACTGAATCTATTATCCATCTGAGAGCCACTGAAGCTACACAGCTGCTTATTTTGTCTTCAAAGAAGGAATTAGTCATCAGTACCTGCAGGTATAACAACATTGCTAAATAAAAGATTTTTAGGAGGAACACTTCTATGTATTAAATTGTCTTAAGATGGTAAGCTTGCCTTAAATGATTTAAACTATGTGCCAGGCATTGGCTGGTGGTCAGACTGTGTAAACCAACATGGGTTAGACATCATAACCAGGTTAGCATGACTTGAAACCAGAGTATCCCAGAAACTGCTGCCTCCACTTCCTTAAGAATGCAGCCATATCCTTTCTAAATCTCAAAAAATCCTAGATGTGTAAAGATATCATTAAATTCCAATCCTCAAAGAACTAAACTGCATTTCCCCAAAAAACACACGAATTCTAGAAAAATGGCAACAACCAAAACTTTAAAAAGTTAAAAATGACCAGGAAATTCTAACTTATCTGCCTTGTTTCAGGATCTCCCCGTTGAAAGATTTTCCAAACCTCTAAATCTAACAGAATAGCCAACACTGGAATCCATACCTCAAAGACCAAAACCTAACAGGAGAATAAATTGTTAACAAACATGCGTTGCAGACTTTCATTTTTGGGAGGCCAAAACTTCAAAAACGAAAATCCAGTTGCTGAAATAACTATCAAAATTCAACCCTAACAGAAACATCTTACGTCGCTCAACTAATCTGCAAGGAAAAGGAAGCAACTCTACCTCTGTGCACAGTACAGGCATCTGTACTTCGGCATGACTTTCAGTTACCATTGGTGACAGGAAGATACTGGTTTACAGTATCTCCCCGGTTTAAAACAAACACGGAAAGTCAAGGGACAAGGGTAACGGCCAAAAGATCTCAAGCAGAAGCCGGCAGAAGTATACGAGCAGCGGCTCTCCATCTCTACCCCGAGCATCTCAAGGACTTGTCCTACCTAAACACTTTATGTAAACAAGGGGGCTTGTGACTCAGGCCTCCAGCCCCAATAGGTGGAGAGAAGTTTCCTCGCCTCGGCTGCACATGGTCTGCAGAAGTTTGGCTGGAGCAGAGCGCGGAGCCTGGGTGGGAGCGGCAGTGGAGTGCTGCAGGCGGCGGCGGCGGCGGCAGAGCAGCAGGAGGCGGAGGCGGGCGGGGGGAGGGGAGCGGCTGGGGGGGGCGGAGGGGGCTCTTGCCGCCACTGCTCTCTCGCCGCCTCTCCCCCCCGGCGGGAGCCGCTCGCAGCCTCTTTGCACAAGTCTCTCCGCTCTCTCGGTCATGTGACCTTAACGTAACCGGACAGGAAAAGCCCCGCCGCCGCCGCCGCCGCCGCGCCGGAGACACCGACCGCGGCGGCAGCAGCAGCAGCAGCAGCAGCGAGAGGCAGAGGCGGCGGCGGCGGGGAGGACAGCACGGCCGAGGCTGCCCAGCGGCGCCTCCTCCACACCCCCCGCCGCAGCAGCACCGGCGACAGGTAAGCGCGCACCGCCTCCGCCTCCCGGGGCCGGTGCCCACGTGCCACCCCCAGCCCAGGGTCCGGGAAGGCGGAGGGGGGGGCGGGGGCCACCGGAGCTCGCAAACGGTTCCGGCAGCGGCAGTGGCAACAAAGACGCCGAATGACCCTCGTCCCAGGGCTCCGGGTGCAGGCAGGCGGAGGGCTCGGGCCACTCGGGGACCCGGTTCTGGGAAGCGAGGGCAGGGGCGCCTCGCGGGGGCGGCGGCGGCTGCGCCTGGCGCCGGGGCTCTGGCCGCTTGACAAAACCATCCCCCGGAGCCAGGCGGCGGCGAGTCGGCAGCGGCTCCATCCGGGGTTTTGAGGGAGGGGGAGGGGACGGAAGCCGAGAGGGCGGGCGGCGGATCGGAGGGAGGGAGGGAGGAAGGGGAGGGGGGCGATTCGCGTTCCGTTCCCCGTGGCCGGTCCCTCCCTTCCCACCGCCACCGCGAAGTGCGCCCTGGGCGGCGGCGACCGGTGAGCGTCCCGCGCTGGAGCCCTCGGAGGCGGGCCCGTCAGGTGCGTAATCCTTCCGACGCCTCGCCGCCGCCTCCTGCTGCTGCCGCCGCTGCTGCTTCGGCGGCAAGGCCGCGAGCTGCGGAAGTGGGTTTGGGGGAGGGGAGGGAGGAGGGAGGGGGAAGGGAGGGATCCGGTCCGACCGGAGCAGGCCCGGCCTCTCTGGCGCTTCTCCCAGCTGCAGCGGCTCCTACAGCTGCTGCCGCTACTGCTGCGGCTCCGCCTCCCGCTCGCGGGCGGGGGCGCGCACGCGCGCTTCCGGCCTCCTCGGGTCTCGCGCTGTCTCCGGCTCTCGCGCGCGCTCATCCCCTCTCCCTGTCTGGGCCACCCCCACCCCCGGCGCCGGGGCTGTTGCGCCGGCCGGGGCGTTGCGCACGGCGTAGGCGTCGGCATTGTGTTAAACTCCGCGGGACTTGCGGCGAGCGCGCGCGCGCACGCGGGACTGAGAGAAGCGGCGAGCGTGCAACGCGGCCGGAGTGCGTCGCTCCTCCCTCCCCCTCAGCCCCTCGGGGACGGGGACAGGGACGGGGCCGGGGGCGGGGCCGGCGAGACCGGAGGGGGCCAGAGGGCCCCGGCGCCGCGCCCCCGGCCCCGCCTCTGGCCAGGCCCCCGCCCCGCGGGGCGGGTGGGGCGAGGTGGCTGTTGCGGCGCGCTCAGGCGGGCTGGGGACGCGTCGGCTTTTGTGGCGCCGCCCCTGTCGCCCGCTCCCTGCGGCTGCAGGCCGGCCCCAGTCCCAGGTGCTGAGCGCGTTGAGCCGGCGGCTTCGAGCTTCCGCCCGACGTGCGATCTGCGCCAGCGATACAACCCGAGTTGGCCCCGAGCGCGCTGTGGTTTCGGCTGCTTAGCCTCGGGGCGTGGGACCCGCGCGGCCCGCACCCCCCGACCGGACTCCGAGGCGAGGAGGCTGCTTCCCGGGGCCGGCGTCGTTTTCTCGTTGTAGCGAAACCCCTAAATCGTTCTTGTTTAAACAAAGCCGCAAGAAAGAAGTGTTTAGCCAGGAGCTGCAAAGGAAGCTAGGTTTTGCCGCTTTTAGCTGGTAGTAAAAGAGGCAATAAAGAAGCGAGGGTAGCAGAGTAGGCGAGTGCCTGGGCCAGGAGAAGCTGCAGCTACGCCTTTTACTGCAGGAACTTCCACCCGAATACGTGAACTCCTAATTATGCCTTGGGGATATAACCCGGCTCTCGCTCCCCGCCTCCCCCAGCTGCATTGTTCATTAGCTCTTTCATCATACAATGGGCCCACTGAGTTTGTGAGCATCGATTCTATTCATTTTCTCACGGTATTATTTTAGTAAAATAAAGCGTAAAAGCATAAAGAAGGTCAGAATTATCAGAACTCCGGGGAGGGGGGAGGCTCTGGGATTACTTAAACGTGCTGCCGTGTCCTTGCTAATGTAAATCTATGCCGACCCCCGCTGGAGCGCCAGGGCTAGTTGTACACACCACTAGCGTTTTAGTGTGGGAGTACCCTGAAAGTTTAATACGGAATTGGGATTATGCCATTTTAATTCTCATTTGTCTAATTTATCACAAACCAAAATTATAAATTGGTAAGGTAAATTCCACTGCATTCTGAATGATCTTGGTGTGCATCCAGGATGTTTTCAGACTGTTAAAAGGTCATTTTTTTCTTTATTTCTTTTTTCTTTTTAATAAGAGACAGGGGTCTTGCCATGTTGCCCAAGGCGGTCTTGAACTCCTGGGCTCAAGCAATCCTCCCGCCTCGGCCTCCCAAAGTGCTGGGATTACAGGGGTGAACCACCGCTCCTGGACAAGAAGGCAATTTTTAAGAGCATAGTAATTTACCATTAATAGGACGTCCTTTTAAACTGGGCATTTCTCATTTAATAAACTTGTAGTTTATTTGCTAAACAAAGAATTGGCCAGTAATTGAAGCCATCATAAGTGCAAGAAGTGATACGCCAGTGCCACTGAGAGTCAACAGTGGAGTAGTCTACAGTGGAGTGTAGTCTACACCCCTAAAACTGTGTCATACAGTCCACCTGCATACTTGCCAGTTTTAAAGCTTCTCTTCAAAGGGGATGTAAATACGTTGATGCTCAGCAACCTAGCAGCAGAGAATAAACATAATCATGTTTTAAGTTATAAAATAAAAGCTGCCACGGTGACACCTGCTTTTTTGTCTTAAACTTTAGTATGAACTTTATAGTAACCTCCAAACTCTGCACTTTTGTAAGACAATATAAAATAATAGAAAAATGTGTTCATGGCCAAGCAAAGTGGCTCATTCCTATAATCCCAGCACTTTGGGAGGCCAAGGCTGGAGGATTGCTTGAAGCCAAGAGTTCAAGACCAACCTGGGTAACATAGACCCCCCATCTCTATTAGAAAAGAAAATGTATTCACCCCAACCCCATAAAGAGATGTACCTTATAATCTTGTGATTTCAAGTACCCACAGCATGCCCCTGAGTAAGTGGATGTGCTTTCCTCAATTTGAGACTTACCAAAATAGAGAAGGAAATACCTAAAGCTCATCTGTAGCATCGGCCTGGGATCAGCAGCTTTAGAGATGGGGACTGTCCTGCCAGCTGTTACTGTTTCTTGGTGCTTCATCTGTAGCCCCACTCACCTTTCCCTGTAGGAACTTGGAAAAGCTGGGCAAGCCCCGTGGCACCAGCCTGCACAGGAAAGGAAGATTGAAACAACTGGTTTACTGGTAATTTTTTTTACCATAAAATGCCAAATGCACCTGACAAAGGTCATTTATCATCACTTTTTCTATTTTCGTATGCTCTTTGGCTCTCTGAACATGACCCTGAAAACCTAAAAGGGAATTGAACGTTTTTATTTCCCTGAAGAAAAAAAAAATGTAAGCGTTCTAAGCATTAGACCAAGAGTATTTCTAAAATCTTCTTTATGCTCAAGTAGGTTATAATTTGAACTAGCAAATTAAACTGTTAAACAATTAAAATATTACTTTGAATTGATAGTAAATAAGATTCAGTATTTTTACAATGCTGATAGAGCCATTAAGATATGGAATCAGTAGTCACAGAACCTTACAAGGAGTTGGCAGCACAAGACATATAGATCCATTTTAGAAGCCAACTTGGTGGCTCGTATTTATGCTCAAACTCATAACCCCCAGTTCACATGCTTGAGGTATGCATCACATGCCTTTGAGTGTCACTTTAAGAAAGTTCAGTGTTCAAAGATAGGAATTTGAAAAACACTTTTATGTATCTGGCTAAGTACTAAGGGAAACTACATTTTTACTTTTGTAAGATATTTTAGTGTAAGATATTTTACTTTTGTAAGTTTTTTGTTTGTTTGTTTGTTTTTGTTTGTTTGTTTTTGAGACGGAGTCTCACTCTGTCCCCAGGCGGGAGTGCAGTGGCGCGATCTCGGCTCACTGGCTCACTGCAAGCTCCGCCTTCCGGATTCACGCCATTCTCCAGCCTCAGCCTCCCAAGTAGCTGGGACTACAGGCGCCTGCCACCATGCCTGGCTAATTTTTTAGTATTTTTAGTAGAGACGAGTTTCACTGTGTTAGCCAGGGTTTCACTGTGTTAGCCAGGATGGTCTCGATCTTCTGACCTCGTGATCCACCCGCCTCAGCCTCCCAAAGCGCTGGGATTACAGGCGTGAGCCACCGTTCCCGGCTGCACTATTCTCTTAAATAGGGCGCACTCGCTAAGTTCTGCACCAAGCAGGGTAAGCGTCAGAATCCTCTAATCTGGAATGATTTCAAAGTGTGCATGTTCTCCTGCCCCGGGAGAGTCATTTAGGTTCTCTGGGTCCCAAAGTGATTCTGAAGGGCACTTGTCTAAGTGTGATCTGAAGATCCTTTTGAAGCCCCAGGATCCTTTCAGGGTTCAATGAAGTCAAAACTATTGTCATAGTAATACTAAGTTGTTACGGCGTTTTCCACCGTGTTGACAAAATGTCTTCTCAGTGTTGACACTGAGAAGATCTGCTTAATTCAGTGAGCCAATGTTTTCCAAATGATCAACGGATGATGTTAAAAATCATGAATGGGTAAATGATCCATTGAAAGTGGATAGACCAATGAATGTTACTATAATAGAGTAGGAAAAGTTAATTCAGTTATGTAGTTTCATATTACACAACCAACTTTTAAGAAAGTACCACTTGTCAAGTTTTGGTATAATATAAAAGAAGACTATTACCTGAAAAGGCTATTAAAATACTCCTTTTTCCAACTACGTAGGTGGGTGAGGCTGGATTTTCTTCACTACTCAACCAAAACAGAGTTAATTGAGGAGTAAAAGCAAAATCCGGTTGTCTTCTGTTAAAGAGAATTGCAAAAATATAAAAAGACACCACTTTGTTGTTTTAGAAAATACAATTATTTTTTCATAGAAATGTTCTGTACTTTAACATGTAATGGGTTTATTGTTGTTTTTAATTGAATTAAATGTTTCTAAAATTTCACCATTTTAATTTCTAATATGGTAAATGTCAATAGTTAAAACCCATATAAACATATAATTGATTTTCTTAATAATTTTTAAGACCATTAAGGGATCCCAACACCAAAAAGTTTGAGAAGCCTGCTCTAAAATATTGAAATATGTTATTAAGACTTTGAGTTAAACACATTTGAAACTGTGTTATATACCCTGAACTACACAATTAGGTGATTATATTTTCTTCAGATTAATTTTACAAATCATCTTATGTTATATAAAAAATGAAGGCAATCTCTGTTCTGGTGGATTATTAGAAGCAGATTAGTTTTTTGTTGTTGTTGTTTTGAGACAGGGTCTTACTCCTTCATCCAGGTTAGAGTGCATCCACGGCTGAAGTGGATGCACTTCGGCTGAAGTGGATCCAAGGATGAAGTGCATCCTTCATCCACGGCTCACAGCAGCCTCAACCTTCCTGGCTCAAGCAGTCTTCCCACCTCAGCCCCCTAGTAGCTGGGACCATGGGCACATGCCACCACATTCAGCTAATTTTCTTTTTATAGAGACAGGGTCTTGTCATGTTGTGCAGGCTGGTCTCCGGGGCTCAAGTGATCTGCCCACCTTGGCCTTTCAAAGTGCTGGGATTACAGGGGTGAGCCGCTGTCCCCAGCCCAGATTAGTTTTTTAATTTTGCTGTGTGTAATCATTTGTAAGTTTCCTTCAGGTTGATTGTAGCATAATGTCTTTAGAATTATTACTTTAATACGAACTCTCTATTAGCCATAAATCTCTGATCTACTTCTGTTTGACACCTAAGATGTCCCTGAATTGCCTTCTTATGACCCCAACTTACATTTGGAAATTAAAAACTAAGTGTAAACATAGGGAAAATATAATTGAAAACAGTAGTATTTTACAAATCCAGTGCTTTTTAACATGAAAATAAATGCTGTTAGTTTATGCCCCTCTCTTTTCTAATTACTGTGGAAGAAGGTTGACTAAGGAAATGTTAAGAAAAAAATGCCAATCCATTATCACAACTAAATAAGATGCATTTTCTACCTTCAAAATACAGTTTTAAAATATATTAAAATTTGAATGACCAGCCTCATTCAGGTTTACTTCATGGGCCCTCCAATATTAATTATTAATAATAGTAATTGAAAAAGCAGCTTTTCATCCTGGTAAATGGTCTAAACTACTTGAAAGAATCAGTCTTACTTGTGGGTAATACTTCTACTCTTACTGATTGTCCTTTGCATTACAATATTCATTTATGCTTCACTTAAATAAAATCAAGGACTTCAGAGGACCCTTTTAGTGCCCTTGAAACGGGTAGTGTAAGTAGTGTTTAGTGTCTTAGAACAGCTATTATCTTTAAAAACGGAATCAACAATTTCCGAAAGCTGTTTTGGTGTCCTATTCTTATACTGAAAATGAAGGAGGAACTTAGGTTGTCAAAATATAACGTAATTGTACGTGCCCCATTCTTCTGCACCTCCAAAAGGATGAGTGACTTGCTTACGGATCAGCCCACATGTGCTCTGTGATGGAAGCTGAAAGCAAGTGACAGCTAGGTGGTCAGTGTCCCATTATCAAGTAGGAGACAGTGGTGACAATGAAAACCAAAGCATTAAATAATCTAAAAGGTCATTTGTATTTGGCTTTAGGAAATGTTTTTTATTTTTTCAACATGAGTATGTCTTATAGTCTCTGAATTTAGTTAAGGAAAGTAAAAACTTTGTACACATACATATACAGAAAGAATGCATTCCATGAAAACCCATTTATAGGCACTGCCTCCTCTCTCCAGTGCTACTTTTCTTCAGTTCCTTTCAGCTTACTATTCTAATTTAGAAAAGACAAATGACTTGTTTTTTATTTAGTTGGGTTTTGTCTTAAGTTCATTTACAGTGTTAAATGGTTGGGGATTTTACATAGGTCTTCAGTTTCATGTCTTGATTTTCGGGCCTTTGCGACTGGGATCAGGAAGAACTTTTAGGAATGCTCTGTAGAGCAAGGTAGTAGAGTGGAGACAACATGAACTGTATGCCCAGAAGACCAGAGTTCAATCCTGACTCTATTTGTTGACAATTGTAACCTCTCTCAACTACAGTGTAGTGATTGAAGGACATGGCTTTTCTGAAGACTCAGACAAATCACAGTCAGGACTTCCAAGCTCCAGACCAGTGTAACCAACGTATACTCTGCATCTCCACTTGCTTATCTCAAAAGTATCTCAAACCCAACATGTGTGAACCTAACTTCTTGCCCTTCCCACCAAACTGGGTATTTGCCCTGTGTTCCCTCCTGTTGGAAGCACCAAGATCTATCCAGTTATACAGATAAGAAGTCTAGGAAGTCTTCCTGGACACTTTGATCTGCTCCATTCTCCTTCATCTGACTCATCAACCAGGTCTGTTTTTTTTTTTTGTCTTCTAAATATCTTTTAACTCCTGCCAATTTCCTCCATCTTCCTCAGTACCACCTGAGTCCGTTATCTTTTTTGTAGACCACTGGCAGTTGTCCCCTCTAGACCATTGTCCAGCAGATCTTCACTTGCCCGCTTGTTATCCCCTCCTCCCCAGTTTGGTTAGTTCTGCAGTCTGTGTGTTGTAGAGATCTTATCAAGTCATCCTGCTTAAAATCCCCTTGGGTGGCTTTCCATTGCTTTTAAGATATGGACCAAAATCATTAACATGATGTCTGTCTCCATCCTCCTTATTCTCTAACTCTTTACCCTTCAGGGTTATTGTGAATTATAAAGCACTATTCAGAAACTAATTATTAGCATGAAGAAACACAAGATACTATTTTTAAATTGAAAAATTATTCCAAAACATAGCAGGTGTTAAATTGATGAGAATTTTTTAGGTCAATCTAGGATAACTAGAAACTCAACTTCTACCCCTAGTCACCCAGCTGGTGAGAGGCAGAGCCTTGACTGGAACTCAGCACTCTTCTCCTCCTGGAGCATCTGCTTATTAATTTACTTAACAAATACTAAACCCTAGGCCATATGCAAGGCACTGGGATAAAATAGTAAATGATAAGGAAGATTTGTTGCCAGTTTCCAGAAGCATCAGGCAATGTGTATAAACTGGCTTGTTCACAGATGCACCAGGGCAAGAACATGAGGGGCAGGGGTGTGTGTGTGTGTGTGTGTGTGTGTGTGAGAGTGAGTGTGTCTGTCTGTCTCATGTTCTTCTGAAAGCAGCATATTCAAAATCCTAGAGCAGAGGTTCGAAGCCTGTGTACAGATGCGACCCCTCTCCCCTAACCCTTTAGAGCTCAGGCTGCCAAGCTGCCCAGCCTTGAGAGTGAAGCCTTTGAGCAGTAAGTATTGTACGCTGTCAGGAGCCAAGTCATCACCAGGGTGTTCAGGACCTTCTGGGAGACGAAACTGCCATTCCTTAGCTTAGCTTAGCTTATCCAGAAGTCCCAAAGTAAGTGAAATAACCTCATTTTGTCTCTATTATCAATATATTCAAATGAAACTGAATTTTTAGTAATGCTTGTATTTCAAAACAAGCTGGACCCTTGATGATCCATTCGTAGAGATCACCAAACTGAGAATCGCGTATCAAGAAAATAATTAGCTGGGCAATGTGACATGCATTTCTAGTCCCAGCTACTCAGGAGGCTGAGGCAGGAGGATCACTTGAACCCAGGAGTTCAAGACCAGCCTGAGCGACATAGCAAGACCCCATATAAAAAATTAGATACAGGCTTGGTGTGATGGCTTATGCCTGTAATCCCAGCACTTTGGGAGGCCGAGGCGGGTGGATCACGAAGTCAGGAGTTCAAGACCAGCCTGGCCAACATGATGAAACCCCGTCTCTACCAAAAGTACAAAAATTAGCCAGGCGTGGTGGTCGGCGCCTATAATCGAGAGACTGAGGCAGAGAATTGCTTGAACCCAGGAGGCAGAAGTTGAAGTGAGCCAATATCACACCACTGCACTCCAGCCTGGGCAACAGAGCAAGACTTCATCTTAAAAAAAAAAAAATTAGATACAATTTAATGTATTAAAGTAACATTTTATGTTGTAATTTGTTTGCATTAGAAAAATATTAAGCCGGTAGGTGGAGGTTGCAGTGAGCGGAGAATGCACGCCATTTCACTCTAGCCTGGGCAACAAGAGCGAAACTCTGTCTCAAAAAAAAAAAAAGAGGCCGAGGCAGGTGGATCATCAGAGGTTGGGAGTTCGAGACCAGCCTGACCAACATGGAGAAACCCCATCTCTACTAAAAATACAAAATTAGCTGGGTGTGGTGGCGCATGCCCGTAATCCCAGCTACTCTAGAGGCTGAGGCAGGAGAATTGCTTGAACCCGGGAGGCGGAGGTTGTAGTGAGCCAAGATTGCACCATTGCACGCCAGCCTGGGCAACAAGAACGAAACTCCATCTCACAAAAAAAGATAAAGAAAAGAAAAATATATTTTCATATATAGTCATGTACCTATAATAAATTTCAATGAAAGATCCCGTATACAACAATGGTCCCATAGGACTATAACACCATATATTTACGTAAGTTTTTTGTGTTTAACTGTTTCGATACACAAATACTTACCATTGTGTTACAATTGCCTACAGTACGGTAACATGCTGTCCAGGTTTGTAACCTAGGAGCAATAGATTGCCATATAGCCTAGGCCTGTGTAGTAGGCTATACCAACTAGGTTTGTGGAAGTACCTTTATGATGTTCACACAATGACAAAATTGCCTGACGATGCATTTCTCAGAACGTATCTCTTGTTAAGCAAGGTATGACTGCATTGAATATAGTGCCACCTGTCCTTCCTCTGGGAGGATGATACTGACATTGTGTCATTTCTATGTATTTATGTGTAAAAGCCTACCAGGTTTGTGAATGTTTCATGTCTTTGCTGGCAAAATAAAGGGGGAGCAATGTTAGACCTTAGTCTGAAGGTTTGTTGTTTTTAGTACGTCTGTGAAATCAGAAAGCCTGGAAAGCATTAGTTTAGATTTGCACCAGAGTATGGGATGCAGAGTAAGCAACTGTTAGATGGTGCAGGACTCTGGAAGAGGTGCAGCGGCGCTGGGATTTTATCCTAATGGCAGTAAGGAACCACAGGAGGATTTCATCTATTTATTTATTTATTTATTTATTTATTTATTTTTAAGATGGAGTCTCACTCTGTCACCCAGGCTAGAGTACAGTGGCATGATCTCAGCTCACTGCAACCTCCACTTCCCAGGGTTAAGCGATTCTCCTGCCTCAGCCTCTCGAGTAGCTGGGATTACAGGCACTCGCCACCATGCAAGGCTAATTTTTATATTTTTTGTAGAGACGGGGTTTCACCATGTTGGCCAGGCTGGTCTCAAACTCCTGATCTCAGGTGATCTGCCCACCTCAGCCTCCCAAAGTGCTGGAATTACAGGTGTAAGCCACTGTGCCCGACCCACAGAAGAATTTTAAGCAAGTGACATCAGGTTTGCCCTTTCGAAAGGTCATTCTGGCTATTGTGTGGTGGATGCATGAAGGAGGCCAGAACTGGAGATGGAGAGATGAGTTGGGAGATGAGGTTAAGGTGTGGCAGGAAAGTAAAGAGTTTCAATTAATGGCAGTTGGGGGCTGATGTGAGGAGTAAGAGAATGGGGACGCCTGAGGATGAGTTGAGATTTCTGGCTTGGTCAGAGGGTGGAAATGGGACCCTGCACTAAGCCAGGGAATATAGAAGGAGCAGATTTGTGTACCTGGTTTTTATTGTCTTTTTGGGTAAATGGCAGTGAGAGGACAGGGAGGAAGTGAGTTGAGTTTTACCTAAATCAAGTTTAAGGTTCCTGGGGAACAGCCAAGGAGAAGTGAAAGAGATCACCAAAGAGAGGCTGCAGAATGAGGAGTGGGCTGGGGACCAGGCGCAGAGGAGACCAGCAAGAGGAACCCTGGATGGAGATTAAAATAGAACAGCCTGTGGTGAGTCGAAAACCAGAGAGCAGTAGCCTGAAAATCAGAGACCAAAGATTTATCAAAGCGGGAGGAAGAATACAAAATGCCGCCAAGAGGCTGAGTAAGCCACTGAGTCCCTGAGGCTGGGGAACAAGGTCCTTGGTGACCTTGGTGAGCAGAGTAGGGCGGGAGCTGGCTTGGAGGTGGGAAGAGCAGGCAGCCATTCCCACAAAAGAGGGGCGGCCTCAGCCAAGCCGTCCACAAGGATACCAGGGCCCTAGCTGGTGTATTTTGGGCCAGTTAAGCCTCATGGAAATGAGTATGAAGGGAGGCTGTGATGAGAAAAGAGGAAAGAAAGATTTAAGAAAAGCCAGTACTGTCGCTGGGCAGGGGCCAGAGTGTAGCCCATAGAACCTTCTCTACCCTTTTGCCCCATTTCCTCAGGCAGTTCACATATGGAACAGTCTAGGGGTTTTGGTTTTGGTTTTCTTTTTGAGAAAGGTTTTTTGGTCTCCAAAATAAAACTTTTTTCAAGTTGATCTGTGTGAATTTTCCCTCTTGTGAATTTTGAACATGCAACTTGTTCCATTTTTCATTCTTTATTTTTTTTCATTTCTCTGAGTCATGCACATGTATTCTTTCCTCTGTATTTGAATACTTATGTTCAGTGTGTTTCCTGATCTAGGAGATGTTCCTAAATTGACATTTTAAAATAACTAGTAGACTCTCTTAAATTCCTAAATTGAGATTCTAAAATAACTGGTAGACTCCCTTAAAAAACATTGAGCGTTCTATCATGGCTTCATTCTTATGGTCTGAATAGAATGCTTATGTTAGTCTGTTTGTGGAAAGAGAGGGAGCCATAGAGTTTGCTATATCGAAGGAAATGATATATACCCGTTCATGTAAAAACCAAAACTTCAAAATCCTCCTATAAAACATTAACAAATTTGATGGCATTAAAACATAAAATTGTATTTGTCAAAATCTCTATAAACAGATGCAAAGGAAGTGAGAAAATTATTAGCAACATATGTGACACAGGGCCTATTTTCCTTATATACAAAGAGTTTAATAGATTTTTTTTTTTTTTTTTTTTTTTTTTTAAGACAGGGTCTCACTCTGTTTCCCAGGCTAGTGTGCAGTGGTGCTAACACAGCTCACTGCGTGCAGCCTCAATCCCCTGGGCTCAGGTGATCCTCCCACTTCAGCTCTGGAGTAGCTGGGACCACAGGTGTGTGCCACCATCCCTGGCTTTTTTTAAATTTTTTTGTAGAGATGGGGGTCGCTCCATGTTGCCCAGGTTAGTCTTGAACTCCTGGGCTTGGGCAGTCCTCCCACTTTGGCCTCCCCAAGTGTTAAGATTAGAGGCATAAGCCACCACACCTGGCCGGGTTTTATTAAATTGATAAGAAAAAGAGAATTGAATAGGAAAATGGGCAGAGCTCATGAAGAGGTACTAAAGGAAATACAAATGGTCAATAAATATAAAAATAAGCTTTACTTCATCATTAAAGGCCTACAAAGTAAAAAAACCATATTGGCAAAGAATACCAAGTATTAACTAGAGTATGGAGAAAAGAGTTAGGGTGGAGCTGGATAGAAAAATCTCACATTTTGTCTGTCCATAATATTTGAATCTTTTATAATAAGTATATGTACTTAAAAGCAGCAGCAAATAATAATATTTAAACACACACACTTTCGTGTAGCACGTTCCAACTAACCAAGTGAATCCCAGTTTAAAGCCTACTTATTAAATGTACTGGTTCTATAAGCTTGGGCAAGCCACCTACCCTCTCTAACCCTATTTCCTTGTTTATAAGCATATGAATGATCCAGCTTCTCCACACTCTTGCCACCATGTGTTGTGACTGTTTCTTATTTTAGCCATCCTGATAGGTGCGTAGTGATACTGTGGTTTTAATTTGCTTTTCCCTAGTGGCTAGTGGTTTCGAAGATCTTTTCGTGTGTTTATTTGCCTTGCCATCTGTATATCCTCTTTGGTGAAATGTCTGTTCAAGTCTATTACATATTTTCTGATTTGATTTTTTTTTTTACTATTGAGTTTTCAAAGTTCTTTATATATTCCAGATACTAATCCTTTGTCAAAGGACTAGTTTGCAAAAGTTTTCAAATATTGACTCCTAGTCTTTGAGCTTGTGTTTTCATCCTCTCAGTAAGGTCTTTCAGAGAGCAAAAGTTTTTAATTTTAATGAAGTCCAGTTTATCAAGTTCTCATTTTAAGGATTCTGCTTTTGATGTCAAATGTAAAAACTCTTTGACTAGCCCTAGATTTTAGATTTTCTTACATGTTTTTTCCAAAAGTTTTACAGTCTTGTGTTTTACCTTTAAGTTCATTATCCATTTTGAGTTGATTTTTATTATATAAAGTACGAGACTTAAATGTCCAGGTTCTTTTTCTTTTTTCTTTTTTGCCTGTGGAAGCGCAGTTGATCCTGCACCATTGGTTGAAAAGCTTATTCTTCCTCCACTGAATTGCTTTTGTGCCTTTGTTAATAATCAGTCGTGCATATTTATGTGTGTCTACTTCTGGGTTCACAATTTTGTTCCATTGATTCACTTGTCTGTCCCTCTGCCAACACCACACAGTCTTGAATGCTATAGCAATATACTGCATCTTGAAATTGGGTGGACTGGTTTCTCCCACTTTATGGTTCTTTTTTAAAAATTATTTTAGGCCAGGCGTGGTTGCTCACACCTGTAATCCCAGCACTTTGGGAGGCCGAGGCGGGTGGAGCACCTGAGGTCAGGAATTCGAGGCCAGCCTAGCCAACATGGTGAAACTCCGTCTCTACTAAAAATACAAAAAACTTAGCCGGGCTTGGTGGTGCATGCCTGTAATCCCAGCTACCCCAGGGAGCCTGAGGGAGGAGAATTGCTTGAACCCAGGAGATAGAGGTTGCAGTGAGCTGAGATTGTGACACTGCACTCCTGCCTGCAACAAGAGCGAGAAGTCTGTCTCTATATATATATATGCACACACACACACACATATATATAATTTTAGCTATTCTAGTTCCTTTGCTTTTACGTGTACATTTTAGAATAATTTTGTGTATATCTACAAAAAAATCTTGCTGGGATTTTTATAGGAATTGCATCAAACCTATATGTCAATTTGGGGAAATTGATATATTTACCATGTTGAGTCTTCCTATCCATAATCATAGTGTATCTGTTTATTTAGATCTTTTATTTATTTAATCAATGTTTTATAGTTTTCAACATGCAAGTCCTGCACATGTTTTGTTAGATTTACACCCATATATTTCATTTTGAATGATTTTAAATGGTATTATCTTTCTAATTCAGTCCACATTTTTATTGCTAGTATACAGAATTACAGTTGATTTTTTTTTGTATGTTTATGACTTGCCAAACTCATTTATTAGTTCTACAAGGTTTTTTTGTTTTGTTTTGTTTTTTAATAGATGCCTTGGGACTTTCTGTGTTACAATCGTGTCATCTGCAAATAGTGACAATTTTATTTTTTCCTTTTTCTTCTGTATGCTTTTTATTTCCTGTCTTGCTTTGTTGCATGAGCTGGTACTTCCAGTGCTATGTTGAATATGGAGAGGGGACATCTTTGCCTTGTTCCCAATCTTATGAAGAAGACATTCACCCTTCCTTACCTTTAAGTATAACGTTAAATATAATGTTGGTGTATGTGTAATGGGCTTTTATAAATGCTCTTTGTAGAAAAGGAGCAGTCTAGAGATTTGATGAACCAGGCAATGTCAGGCAGCCTCTTTGTTATAAATAGACTCAGGCCAGCGGGGTTTGCTAGGGTCAAGTGTGAATAATGAAAATCACAGAATTTGGAATCAGAACATTCACATTTAAATTTTGATCCTCCCTCCTTTTGGCTAGAAGGCCTGGGGCAAATTACTTAGACGTCTCAAAACCCATTTCCTCCTCCACAAGGAAGGAGGCAGAGCCCCAACCCCACTTCCTCCGTAAGTGTTAAGGGTCAGGGGTGATGGGGCTGTTACATCACCAGCAGGAGCACACAGCAGGAGCTGGACTATTGACCCTCAAACTTATTGATTCTCACCCTGCCCTGCTGGGACCCCACCTCAACACCTTAATTTATCTATCTCTGCGGAAGAACTGACAAACTCTGATGCATCATTAGAATTTCCATTTGGAATCTTACACTAAAAGACTCCATTTGCATTTGGAATTTTAAACTAAAAGACTCGATGGTCCAAGATATTTGCTGTCTGTCTCCAGGACTTGATGCTTAAAGGCAGACCACCTGAGTTCATTTCCTGGCTTCTCCATTGCCATCTGTGTGAGCTTGGGCAAATCACGTAATTCCCTGATTTACTTTAAATGACATCATTTGTTTAAAAAAAAAGTGGAATGACATAATTACTTCAGAGGACTGTTAGGAAGACTAAATGAGTTAATCTATGTAACGTTTTTAGCAGTGCCTGACACATTAGCTATGATGACATGTTAGCTATGATCATGACTGTTGGTGACTATAAAGGACACATTCTTATTTGTGAATCACCTTCTTAAAAATAAAATTGTTTGCTTTGCAGATTTTTTAAAAAATGGATTTGGCCAACCATGGACTTATTCTCCTGCAACAGTTAAACGCTCAGCGAGAGTTTGGTTTCCTGTGTGACTGCACGGTTGCAATCGGCGATGTATACTTCAAGGCACACAAATCAGTTCTTGCTTCATTCTCCAATTACTTTAAGATGTTGTTTGTCCATCAGACCAGGTAACTAAAGTGGTTGCTAATAACCTAATGACTGTAGACTTCTTAACCTCCCTGTCCCTGGCCCTCATCAAGACCATGGGTCTCTCTACCTCTCCTAGCTCCTAGCTGACCTGCTCCCTTGTGGCCTCACTCGCCCCCTACCTTCTTGTTATGCGTGCTTTCAATAGCACTTGAGAATCACTGGACCTGCCAGCTCTACGCAGTCCCTCCACCTCCAGATGCCCTCGCTGGGTATCACCTGCAGGATCAGGACCTGCAAGATCAGGTCCATTATAAGGCCAGCTCCCCAGCGTCAGCGAAGCCTTCCAGCAGTAATCTTTTCTGGACTCATTGTCTAAGCCCTGCCTCTCATTCCTCCAGCCCCAGTCCCCTGAGTATCCCCCTGACTTTTAGCATTTATTCTTGTCTCCTCCTCTAACAAGAAGCTTGAGGCATGAATTTCTCCAGTTCCCCTCTTTTCTATCTGAAAACTTCTCTATCTTTGCTTAGTTTCTTTCTTTTCATCTCTCCTATCTTGAGAAAAGGGCCTCTCAGTGTCTGTGGAAAATGATCTCCCTCCCTCCCTCATGCTGCAAGATCCCACTCCTCAATTTTTATTCTGTTCTTTTTATTTTATCTGTTTTCATACGCCCCCTCCCCTGCCCCCAGCCCGTGTGGGATCAGCACATCCTCGACACTGCTGTCTGCCTGAGTTACGGTGCCGCTTCTCCTTCACTTTACTATGAAAGCCCTTAAAAGGGTAATCGAGGTCCTCGCCTGCACTCTCCTCATCCCACACTCTTCCTATCAGTGTGCACTGTGGTTTCCTCCCCTCCTTCACTCTACTGCAGTCTTTTCTCTAAGGTCACCCCTCATCAAAACCACTGCCCTTCTCTCAGCCTTCTAGCATCCTGTCCTCCAGCATCTGCTCTTGTTTGCTTCCTTCTTAAGTGGTTGTCATCTGCATTTTTATAGCTGAATATCTCTTGTTTTTCTGCCCTCTAAACCTGGGCCTTTGGTGAATTTTGTCTTTTGCACTCTTCCTATGGGTGTGTGTCTTTTTCCTAGATCTCGCCTCTGCTGGAAACTTCAGTTTATAGCTCTGGCCTTGACTGTTCTGTCTCCAGAACTCTATTCCCAAGGCCTCAGGCCGTGTGCTGGGCATTTAGAGTTGAGTATCTCCTTTTGTGTCTTTGAGGATGTACTGAATTAGGCCCTCTCCGAAGTTCCTCCTGCCTATTTTCTTATCTTCAAGTATTCCAAGCTTAACTCTTTTGAATCACATCTTATCAGTCCCCAAATCATGTTTTCTTCAAATTACCTTTCACATTTGTCACTTCTTTTCCTTTCTCACTTCCATTACCTCATCACCCATTTTCCACATTACTGTCAGATTCGTATTTCCAAACACTGCTTTGACTGTAGTGTTTGATGAGAAACCTCTATACTGCGGTATTCCTTGGATCAGAAACCGCGGGGATGCGCAGTGATATTAAAATAACACACAGCCTCCTTATTCTGTCATCCAAGGCCCCATAGGCTTGGAGCCCAACCTCTTTCTAGCCTCATCTGCAACTGGGCCCTCTGGGACACCCCACCCCTCATCTTCACTTTAACCAGACCTACCTTCATGGCTTCAGCTCACCTGGACCACATTTTGCTGGTATCCTGCCCACTCCCTGAGTCCCAGCTCATGCAGCACCTCTTGTATGACCCCTCCCAGTCAAGTGAAACAAAACAAATGACAGTGACCATGTCCTCGCTCATGGCTCATAACACTTTAATTGTGCTCCTTTATAAGAGTGCACATGTACAAGAGTGCAAATATGCACCTTTCCCCTGTGTTGTTGTTATTTGTGTATTTATCCCCCCTCTTCACTTGTAAGTTTCTTGAGGGCAGGGACTGGGTTTTACAAATCTTTGCAAACACCACCCAGTATGGCTGAGGTATTTGCACACAATAGAATAGCTACTTGATCAGTGTCTGGAGGAGCAGATGGGACAACTGCAGAATAACCCAGGAGGGGTGGCTCATCTGGCAACACTAAGAATGCTGCCTTTAACTCGTGTGTCAGAGACTTCAGGCCTAGTTTGGGTTTTGTACTGGACAGTCTCAACACAGTGAATTCAATGGTATTGAAAAGGAGGCAGTTTTAATCTTGAGGAGTGCAAGAATGCTACATAATGAGTTTTAATTCAATGCAAGAAACCCACCTTTAAGTATAGGGCAGTAAATAAATGCCTTTCTAACAAGGCGTTGTGATATTTGTGTAATACAACAGTGTAAAGCAACAGTGTGTATTACTGCACCAGAGGTGACACATGCCTAGTGGCCAGCTTTGCCGCCTCCTAGTACAGAATTCAAGCTCCTCGAGGCAAGGCAAACTCAGGGTGAAGGCCAGGGGCGTACTTTTCAACCAGCACCTCCTCTGTGGGGCACAACACTGCCGCCCGGCTACTCAGTCGTAGACTGAGAATACAGTCAATTTTTTCAAGTTTGGCTCCAAGGGAGATTTCTGGCTGTAGTTACCACTAGATGTCCCTGTCTTATGTCTGCAACTCTGAGTGGTATGTTTAAATCACAGACAACTACAGATTTTCAACTATCAAAAATAAAACCACTGAGGGAGAGACCTTCCTAAGTACAACCTTCTGACAATGCTAATGTTATTCAAAAATCCTTATTTTTAAAGTTGTTTAAGCCTATCATTGCTTTTAAAATTCTAGTGAAGGAATAATTGAAGACGGAAATTACTATGGAAGTTTATACCAAAGGACTTATAGCTGTAGTAAAACTATATTCATCTTTATCCTACATAAAAGCATGTCAACCAGCCTGGCCAACATGGTGAAACTCTATCCCTACTAAAAATATAAAAATTAGCCGGGCATCATGGTGTGCACCTGTAATCCCAGCTACTCGGGAGACTGAGGCAGGAGAATCGCTTGAACCTGGGAGGTGGAGGTTGCAGTGAGCCGAGATCGTGCCACTGCACTCCAGCCTGGGCAACAAGAGTGAAACTCCATCTCAAAACAAAACAAAAAAAATGTTATGTCAAACATATCTGCAAACTACTTAGATGTAAGTATATTATAGGGAACTGGGAAAAGGACTGGGAAAAGACCAAAGTCTGGTGCATAGTGAGCTGAGCGATTGGCAGAGGTCAAGCTGCATGGGAATAAAAGCAGTCAGGGATGCAGATGGCTGAAATGTGCATTAAGGAGCTTTGAAAAATCCCACCTGTTTTTGTTTGTTTGTTTTGAGACGGAGTCTCGCTCTTGTCGCCCAGGCTGGAGTGCAATCCTAGTAGCTGGGATTACAGCTGCCCACGCCCATGCCCGGCTAATTTTTGTATTTTTAGTAGAGACAAGGTTTTGCCATGTTGGCCAGGCTGATCTTAAACACCTGACCTCAGGTGATCCACCCCCTAGGCCTCCCAAAGTGCTGGGATTATAGGCATGAGCCACTGCGCCTGGCCTCCACCTGTTTTTAAAGTGTATGTGTGCGCATGTGCTTCTGCTTTTTTTAAAAAAAAAATTTTTTTTAAGGCTGCATGCAGTGGCTCACACCTGTAATCACAACTCTTTGGGAGACTGAGGCAGGAGAATTTCCAGAGTCCAGGAGTTCAAGACCAACCTGGGCAAGATGGTGAGATCCTGTCTCTACAGAAGTTTAAAAATTAGCTGGGTGTAGTGGCATGTGCCTATAGTCCAAGCTACTCAGGAGGCTGAGGCTGCAGTCAGCTATGATCGTGCCACTACACTCCAGCCTGGGCCTACAGAGCAAGACCTCCTCTCTTTAAAAAAAATTTTTTTAATCAAAATAAATTGGTGTTTGGAGACCTCCTTGGGCCCTTACATCCCTGGCTGTAAACCCCAGGGACTCGCCGCTTTCTTTCCCTGGCCCCTTGAAGTCCTTCCTCCAGGCCTGCCTAAAGTGTGGGCCAAGGTTTCCCCAGCTGTGTCCTTTTTTTGCCATCTGAGACTGTACATAGTTCTTTCAAATTTGAGAGACTTACTGTTGAGTCACAATTCATAAGCGATAGACAAGACAGCCTATCCAACCATGAATGAGAAAAGAGTTACAAAATTTACACTGAAGTCAGCCAGGCCTGGTGGCTCTCACCTGTAATCCTAGCACTTTGGGAGGCCGAGGTGGGCGGATCACTTGAGGTCAGGAGTTCAAGACCAGCCTGGCCAACACAGTAAAACCCTGTGTCTACTAAAAGAATACAAAAATTAGCTGGGCCTGGTGGCGGGCACCTGTAATCCCAGCTACTTGGGAGGCTGAGGCAGGAGAATCACTTGAACCTAGGAGGCAGAGGTTACAGTGACCCAAAATCGTGCCACTGCACTCCAGCCTAGGCAGCAGAGCAAGATGTCGACTCAAAATAAAAATTTAGGCCGGGCGCGGTGGCTCAAGCCTGTAATCCCAGCACTTTGGGAGGCCGAGGCGGGCGGATCACAAGGTCAGGAGATCGAGACCACAGTGAAACCCCGTCTCTACTAAAAATACAAAAAATTAGCCGGGCGCGGTGGCGGGCGCCTGTAGTCCTAGCTACTCAGGAGGCTGAGGCAGGAGAATGGCGTGAACCCAGGAGGCGGAGCTTGCAGTGAGCCGAGATCGCGCCACTGCACTCCAGCCTGGGCAACAGCGTGAGACTCCGTCTCAAAAAAATAAATAAATAAATAAAAAATAAAAATTAAAAAAAAAAAAAATGGCCAGGCGCAGTGGCTCATACCTGTAATCTCATCACTTTGGGAGGCCGAGGAGCGTGGATCACCTGAGGTCAGGAGTTTGAGACCAGCCTGGCCAACATGGCAAAACCCCATCTCTACTAAATATACAAAAACGAGCTGGGCCTGGTGACACGCACCTGTAATCCCAGCTACTTGGGAGGCTGAGGAAGGAGAATCGCTTGAACCTGGGGGCGGAGGGTGCAGTGAGCCGAGATCATGCCACTGCACTCCAGCCTGGCAACAGAGTGAGACTCTGTCTAAAAACAAAACAAAACAAAAAATACCAAAGTTGCCAGGCACGGTGGCTCACGCCTGTAATCCCAACACTTTGGGAGGCCAAGGCTGGCGGATCAAAGAAATTAGCCAGGTATGGTGGTGGGCACCTGTAGTCCCAGCTACTCTGGAGGCTAGGGCAGGAGAGTGGTGTGTGAACCGGGAGGCAGAGCTTGCAGTGAGCTGAGATCGTGCCACTGCACTGCAGCCTGGGCGACAGAGCGAGACTCCGTCTCAAAAAAAAAAAACAAAAAAAAAAACCACCAAAGTAGTTCTGGAAAGGGACTCTGCTGGGTAGTACCTTTCATGAATGCTAAAAAACAAAGCCTTCTTTGGATTTCTACCTTTCCTTTTTTTTTTTTTTTTTTTTTTCCTGAAAGAGGGTCTCACTCTGTCACCCCAGCTGGAGTGCAGTGGCACAGTCATGGCCACAGGTCACTGAAACCTCAGTCTTGACTTCCTGGGCTCAAGCCATCCTCCTGCCTCAGCGCAGGTAGCTGAAACTACAGGCACGTGCCATTACACCCAGCTAATTTTTGTTTTTTGGTTTTTTTTTTTTGAGCCGGAGTCTCGCTTTGTCGCCCAGGCTGGAGTGCAGTGGCCGGATCTCGGCTCACTGCAAGCTCCACCTCCCGGGTTTACGCCATTCTCCTGCCTCAGCCTCCCAAGTAGCTGGGACTACAGGCGCCCGCCACCTCACCCAGCTATTTTTTTGTATTTTTTAGTAGAGACGGGGTTTCACCGGGTTAGCCAGGATGGTCTCGATCTCCTGACCTCGTGATCCGCCCGTCTCGGCCTCCCAAAGTGCTGGGATTACAGGCTTGAGCCACCGCCCCCGGCCGTATTTTTTTTTTTAGAGACAGGGTTTCACCATGTTGCCCAGGCTGGCCTTTTTTTTTCTCCCCATTTATTTGTAGAGATGGTGTCGCCATGTTGCCAGGGGCTGGTCTTAAGCTCCTGGGCTCAGATAATCCTCCCACAACACTGCAAATACAGGCATAAGCCAAGGTGCCTGGACACTATCCTTCCTTTTCTGAGGGGGAAGAGAGTCAACTACAGGCTCCCTAGTCTACCGGAGCCTTCTCCCTTGAGGAATGTTTCATCTCAGCAGAGGAGAGGGTGTAACTTACATCTCTAAGGCCTTTGGTTTCCCAATTCCTCTGCCTGATCCTGGAAAAGTTTCCCCCTAGTCATTTCTTCACTTGGGAATTGATTGTTTACATTAGTAAATTCTTCAGCACACATAACGCCTAAAGCTCTGTTTTGAATATTGAACTTCCCTAGGGCATCTAAATGTTTTGCAGTATACACATGGTATTGTTGGAAGCCATCCAAAGACTACCTGTATTTGCATTCCTATTTAAAGGAATATGAAAGGACTCTAAATAAAAATATGAATGATCTGTGTATCTTTTTCGTTTTTGTTTTGTTTTTGTTTTTGTTTTTTGAGACGGGGTCTCGCTATGTCACCCAAGCTGGAATGCAGTGGCACGATCTTGGCTCACTGCAGCCTCCATCTCCCAGCTTCAAGCAATTCTCCTGGCTCAACCTCCTCAGTAGCTGGGATTACAGGCCTGCGCCACCACACCTGGCTAATTTTTTTTGTATTTTTAGTAGAGAGGGGGTTTCACCATATTGACCAGGCTGGTTTCAAACTCCTGACCTCATGATCCACCCGTCTTGGCCTCCCAAAATGCTGGGATTACAGGCATGAGCCACCACGCCCAACCACTTGTTTTGGTTTTTTTTTGAGACGGAGTTTCACTCTTGTTGCCCAAGCTGGAGTGCAATGGCTTGATCTCGGCTCACTGCAACCTCTGCCTCCCATGTTCAAGCGTTTCTCCTGCCTCAGCCTCCTGAGTAGCTGGGATTACAAGCGTGCACCACCATGCCCGGCTAAGTTTTTTGTATTTTTAGTAGAAACAGGGTTTCACCATATTAACCAGGCTGGTCTTGAACTCCTGACCTCAGGTGATCCGCCCGCCTTGGCCTCCCAAAGTGCTGGGATTACATGTGTGAGCCATCATGCCCGACCCTGTGTATCTTTTTTAAAGAAAAGAAAAACAGTCACGTCTACTCTTCCCTTTATGCTGTCAAAGGGATGCTAGTTTTTATGCTTGATATTTTTACAAAATTTCATATTTTTCACATGATTATTTCTACGTAGCCTTCTTGAAATACACATTGATAGCAGCACAGTAATTAGTAAAATCTGTTTTGCTACAAATTTCTGTTTAAGTGGCTTTTATTTATTTTTTTTTTTTCCTTTTTTTTTTTGAGACAGAGTCTCCTTCTGTCACCCAGACTGGAGTGCAGTGGTGCAATCTCGGCTCACTGCTACCTCCGCCTCCCGGTTTCAAGTAATTCTCCCTGCCTCAGCCTCCCGAGTAGCTGGGATTACAGGTGCCCACCACCACACCCAGCTAATTTTTGTATGTTTTAGTAGAGACAGGATTTCGCCATGTTGGCCAGGCTGGTCTTGAATGCCTGACCTCGGGTGATCCACCCTCCTCGGCTTCCCAAAGTGCTGGGATTACAGGTGTGAGCCACTGCATCCAGTTTTTCTTTTTTTTTTTTTTTTTTTTTTTTTGAGACGGAGTCTCGCTCTGTCGCCCAGGCTGGAGTGCAGTGGCCGGATCTCAGCTCACTGCAAGCTCCGCCTCCCGGGTTCACGCCATTCTCCTGCCTCAGCCTCCTGAGTAGCTGGGACTACAGGCGCCCGCCACCTCGCCCGGCTAGTTTTTTTGTATTTTTAGTAGAGACGGGGTTTCACCGTGTTAGCCAGGATGGTCTCGATCTCCTGACCTCGTGATCCGCCCGTCTCGGCCTCCCGAAGTGCTGGGATTACAGGCTTGAGCCACCGCGCCCGGCCAGTTTTTCTATTTTTTAATGGAATGAAAAATGTTAAATTTAGAAGAGCATGGTATGCTGTTAATATTTTAGTATATTGAAAATATTGGCCAGGTGCAATGGCTCACACCTGTAATCCCAGCACTTTGAGATGCCAAAGTGGGTGAATCACCTGAGGTCAGGAGTTCGAGGCCAGCCTGGCCAACATGGCAAAACCCTGTCTCTACGAAAACTACAAAAAGTAGCCAGGTGTGGTGGCACATGCCTGTAATCCCAGATACTCGGGAGACTGAGGCAGGAGAATCACTTGAACCCGGGAGGCAGAGGTTGCCGTGGGCCGAGATCGCACCACTTCACTTCAGCCTGGGTGACAAGAGATTCCCATCTCATAAAAAAGAAAACAAAATATTTGTTAATAAAATGAACATGATTGCTAAAAGGGCCAAAGAAAGTTACAATACAAAAAGTAGTATAATAAAAGAAAATTATAAATTCTAAAAGCATTCAAGGAAGCTGTCTTTAAATTTGAAATGCATTGTCTATAGAATATCTACTCAGTGGAAGATAACATATACCTTGTGATATGTGGATGTAGATCTCATTGATTTCTAATGATGCTTTAGAATTTGTTACCACTACTGAGAAGAGTTCTTGGGAACCTCTTCATTACTGCTGCTTGATCAGGGATGATGTTTCGGAAATGATAAAAGGAGTAGAGTCTAAAGTTATTAATATCATCATCAACTGCTTTAGGTGCCTTAGATAAATCACTTAACTTTTGGGACCTCAGTTTCCATATCTGTCAAATGGGACTAAATAAATCCACTTTATCTACCATACAGGATTGTTTTGATTCTCTAAAGGATCTTGCTATGGTGGCTTTGGCATTAGACAAACATTGTTTCAAATACGAGCTCCACCACTTACCAACTACATGATATTGAGCAGGTTATTAACACCTCTAATCCTCAATCTTTTCCTGTAAAATGAGAATGAATGACAATCAAGTGAGAAAGAATCCCTGTAAAGCCCAGGAGCAGTGCTGATGTTGATGGTGGCATTTGATAAGGAACTCCTGGAGTTCTGTATAAAAAGAGAATACATAATATTTAATTTAACTTGGCCAGGCGCAGTGGCTCATGCCTGTAACCCCAACAATTTAGGAGGCCAAGGAGGGCTGATCACTTGAAGTCAGGAATTGGAGACCACCCTGGCCAACATGGTGAATCCCGTCTCTACTAAAAATACAAAAATTAACTAGGCGTGGTAGGGGGCACCTGTAGTCCCAGCTACTCGGGAGGCTGAGACAGGAGAATCACTTAAACCCAGAAGCCGGAGGTTGCAGTGAGCCGAGATTGCACCATTGCACTCCAGCCTGGGTGACAGAGCGAGACTCCGTCTCAAAAAAAAAAAAAAAAAAGTTAATTTAGCTTACTAGGAGAAAAACTGCTCTAAGAGTCTGTGAATTAAGATGTCACATTTCTTTAACATGAACTTTGTCTCTTGATTATTTCATCCCATTTTCATGAAACTTACTAACAATCAAGGATAGGAAGTGTTCTTGTTTCCTTTGTTTTTAAGCGTTCATTTTTTTCTTCAGGCTTTATGTTAACACCTGGACTGGCATTTACTCACCGATTTTTTTACTTGTTTCTTTCAGTGAGTGTGTCCGCTTGAAACCAACTGATATACAGCCTGACATCTTCAGCTATCTCTTACACTTGATGTACACTGGGAAGATGGCGCCTCAGCTCATCGACCCGGTTCGATTAGAACAGGGCATCAAGTTTCTGCACGCTTACCCGCTCATCCAGGAAGCCAGCCTTGCCAGCCAGGGAGCCTTTTCTCACCCTGACCAAGTTTTCCCGCTGGCCTCTTCATTGTATGGCATTCAGATTGCAGATCATCAGTTGAGACAAGCCACCAAGATTGCTTCAGCACCTGAAAAACTCGGGCGAGATCCACGGCCACAGACCTCCAGGATAAGCCAGGAGCAGGTCCCTGAGACCTCACAGCTCTCCCAGCTGACTTCAAATCTGGCCCAGGTGAATCGGACAAATATGACTCCCTCAGACCCCCTGCAGACCTCGCTGTCTCCAGAACTTGTTTCCACTCCTGTTCCTCCCCCTCCTCCCGGGGAGGAGACCAATCTGGAAGCATCTTCCTCCGATGAGCAGCCTGCGCCCCTCACAATAGCCCACGTCAAGCCGAGCATCATGAAGAGGAATGGGAGCTTTCCAAAGTACTATGCCTGCCACCTGTGTGGCCGGCGCTTCACTCTCCGGAGCAGCTTACGTGAACACCTCCAGATCCACACAGGAGTACCTTTCACATCCGGCCACCAGGGAGAAAGCCGCGTCCCCCTGACTCTCTGTAGCAATGCAGCTGACCTCGGGAAAGATGCCATGGAAGTGCCTGAAGCCGGGATGATAAGTGACAGTGAGCTGCAGCACATCTCTGATTCTCCCATCATCGATGGGCAGCAGCAGTCGGAAACCCCACCCCCCTCAGACATTGCTGACATTGACAACCTGGAGCAGGCCGACCAGGAGAGGGAGGTGAAGAGGCGGAAGTACGAGTGCACAATATGTGGACGCAAATTTATCCAGAAAAGCCACTGGAGGGAACACATGTACATACACACCGGGAAGCCTTTCAAGTGCAGCACTTGTGACAAAAGCTTTTGCAGGGCCAACCAGGCTGCCCGCCACGTGTGCCTCAACCAGAGCATCGACACGTACACCATGGTGGACAAACAGACTCTGGAACTCTGCACATTTGAGGAAGGGAGTCAGATGGACAACATGCTGGTGCAAACAAACAAACCCTACAAATGCAACTTGTGTGACAAAACATTCTCCACTCCCAATGAGGTTGTTAAACATTCATGCCAAAACCAGAACTCAGACGTTTTTGCCCTAGACGAAGGGCGATCCATTCTCCTGGGCAGTGGGGACTCGGAAGTAACGGAGCCTGACCACCCAGTGTTAGCTTCCATCAAAAAGGAACAGGAAACCGTCTTACTAGACTGAATGTCACTTACCTTTTTAAAAAACTCTCATTTTTACAAAGACTATCTTCCCTCCCTTCCCTGAATTAAGAACTGTAGTTCTCCATGGCATGATACAAACAGGTCCTTGTTCCCTTCTCCTCTTCCCTTTTTCCCCACATCCCAGCCCCACCTCTGTAAAGGCTTTGTGCATTATAAACCTGGAATGTATCGACTTTCATTCAGGGGATATTGGAAAGATAATGGTCATTATACTTATAAACTCAAATTTTGAGAGGTTTTAGATTATTTAAAAGCATACTTGGAACTAATGAAGGGTATTAAATAAAACAACTGGAATCCAATTTGGTAAGCTAAAATTATGACTTTCCCTGGGTAAAAAGTCTTCTCAGAAAAACAATGTCAGAAAATACAGTGTGCTTCTTAGAGATACAGCTGGGCTCTGTACTATGCAAAATCTAGAAGGTGTGGGGAAACTTTAAACCCAAGAAAACGTTCTTAGTATTCATCCTCCAGGTGTCTTACTTCAGAATGCATCCTTTGAGATTATGTCCACTTAAGAAAAATCATCAGTTAAGAAATCTACTTTAACAAAACACAAAGCAGAAAAAGTAATAATGTGATGGCAATCTTAATTTTTGGGTACAACATGACAAGCTGTGAGTTTGTGTGTTTGTAAGAGAAAAATGTGTGGGTACTTGCTATAAACAGGTGAATTAATGCACATCCTTATCTCATTGCTGGCTTCTTTCCAAGTTGAGCAACAACAAAATGCTGTATTTGAGTTTCTGACAAATGTGTTTTAAAAATCAAATTTGAATGTACTATTCTATAAATTGTCTTTCTGAACAGAACATGACATGCCATTTTCTAGCAGCTGCCAGTGATAATTTGTTTTACACTAACTTTTAAATCAGTGTGTATACTGCAGGGAAAAGGATATAGGAATATTCATCTTACAGGGGAATTTGTGACCAGAAGATGTAGTAACTTTAATGACTGAAAAAGTCAATGCTGATGGTTTACTGGCAACATTAATTGAAGCATCAAAAATAAATGGCAAAGAGAAATCAGGACAAAAAATCTAATTGCTGTTTGGGAAAAAACTTGATTTTGGTGTTTATTCTCCAGGTTTTTGGTTGTTTTTTTCTTTCTTTCTTTTTTAATGCCTGAAATTTTCTCCATTGGCCCAAAAGCAGTAAAAATTGTTCATTAATCTTCCCTTAGGCCAATAAAAGAAGGGCCTCACAGGACAAAACAGGAGCCAGAAGTAAGGACTGAAGGGGAAGGGGAGAATAGCTAATAGATATACTATATGTACATGTTAAAAACTGAATATCCCATCATCCTATTTCATGTATAGTTGAGTTCTCAAATTTGTAAGTTTTTATACATCCTTTCATTGAATAAACGTTTAATTAAATGAGCATATGATGTCATCTCTGTGTCTTTGGCTACCCGGAGAGATACAGGAAGGGAATGTATAGTATAGCAGTGCTTGAGGAGTCGTTTTCTTTCTTTCTTTTGTTTTGAGATGGAGTCTTGCTCTGTTGCCCAGGCTGGAGTGCAATGGTGTGATCTCAGCTCACTGCAACCTCCACCTCCTGAATTCGAGAGATTCTCCTGCCTCAGCCTCCCGAGTAACTGGGATTACAGGCGCCTGCAACCATGCCCGGCTAATTTTTGTATTTTTTAGTAGAGACAGGGTTTCACTGTGTTGGTCAGGCTAGTCTCGAACTTCTGACCTCAGCTGATCTACCCGCCTCAGCCTCCCAAAGTGCTGGGATTACAGGTGTGAGCCACCGCGCCTGGCAAGGAGTCGTTTTCTGCAGAACTTTGGGCAATTGCTCTAACCTCAGTGGCATTTTCCACACTTGTAAAATGAAGATGTTGATAACTGCTTTGTGTTATAAGATTGTGAGAATCAAATGAGTGAACTCTGCGAAGATGCTGTGATCATCTTGCCCCAACTTTTTATTTTATCTATTTTATTATTTTATTTTATTTTATGTTTTATTTTATTTTATTTTTTATTTTATTTTAATTTGGGACAATCTTGCTCTGTTGCCCAGACTGGAGTGCAGTGGCACAATCTTGGCTCACTGGAACGTCTGCCTCCCAAGATTCAAGTGATTCTTGTACTTAAGCCTCCTGAGTAGCTGGGATTACTGGCGTGCGCCACCACGCCCAGCTAATTTTTGTATTTTTAGTAGAGACAGGGTTTCACCATGTTGGCCAGGCTAGTCTTGAACTCCTAATCTCAGGTGATCTGCCCACCTCAGCCTCCCAAAGTTACAGGTGTGAGGCACTGTGCACGGCCACCTCAATTTTCTTTTACAGGGAAAAAAAAAGGGAGGCCAGGAGATGTTTACCTAAAGATGACACAAATTTGAGTAGCAATATAACCTTTGATTATTAAATATTAAGTGGTGGCCAGGCGCGGTGGTTCACTTCTGTAATCCCAGCACTTTGGGAGGCTGAGGCGGGCAGATCACGAGGTCAGGAGATCAAGACCATCCTAGGTAACATGGTGAAACCCCCACCTCTACTAAAAATACAAAAAATTAGTCGGCCGTGGTGGTGCGCGCCTGTAGTTCCAGCTACTTGGTAGGCTGAGGCAAGAGAACCGCTTGAACCGAGGAGGCAGAAGTTGCAGTGAGCCGAGATCATGCCACTGCACTCCAGCCTGGGCGACAGAGCGAGGCTTTGTCTAAAAAATATATATACATATATATAAAATATAGACATTATAGATATATATAATAGATATACACACATATAATGGTTTCCACTCATTACGTCTTTTTTTCTTTTCTTTTTTTTTTTTTTTTTTTTGAGGTGGAGTCTCGCTCTGTCGCCCAGGCTGGAGTGCAGTGGCGCAATCTCTGCTCACTGCAAGCTCCGCCTCCGGGTTCACGCCATTCTCCTGCCTCAGCCTCCCCAGTAGCTGGGACTACAGGCCCCCACCACCACGCCTGGCCAGTTTTTTGTATTTTTAGTAGAGACGGGGTTTCACCGTGTTAGCCAGGATGGTCTGGATCTCCTGACCTCGTGATCCACCCGCCTCGGCCTCCCAAAGTGCTGGGATTATAGGCATGAGCCGCTGCGCCTGGCCTTACGTCTTTTTTAATAAAAGACACATCTCTGAAATGACAGCCTTGTGCCAAGCTGACTTTTCTGAATATCTGTCAGAGGGTAAATGAAGGTGTACCCCTGCAGCCCTCCATGACACCCCCATGCAGCCATGAAAGGGCACGAGGTGCAGCCAAAGTGCAGGGTCTTGGAGACCAGAAAGTCACAGGGATCACAAGGGACAGTGGTGGGTGAGGGTAAGATACCAGCCAGCCCCAGTTCAGCTCCACAAGTTGATGGAGGGGGAGGGCGAGCATTGTGTTCGTCCACTAATCAACTGTAGAATGCAGGGTCTTCTGGAAACAGCTTGTGACCACCTCCTCCACCAAGGCAGTCCTGCAAAACTCCAGGTTCCTCCCTAAGAGCTGGCTATAGATACTGAAGCCCACCCACCCCACCCTGGAATGCCCAGTGCCTATTCCAGTCCCAAGGGGGGATAAATTTAGCAACCTATTCTGAGTTTTGGATGGTACTAATTTAAACAAGCTTTGGAAATGTCATTTGATGACATAAGCAAAATTAAACTGAGCTGTCCTTCTTCTGGTTCTACCTCTTATTAACAGCACTGGTGCTATTACGTTTCCTCTTATAAAGAAAACAATCAAAAGTGGCTCACTCATTCAACAGATGTTGCTAAAAAATAGATTGTATAAAGAACTATAGAGTTTTTACCATAGGAAATATGGTTTTAGTGGGAAGAAAGCACCGCCATAAAAAGTAGCTTTGGCTAATGATTTAAGAATGGAGAGTAAAGTGGACCTCAACCTTCTCCTTGTTACAGGTGCTAGCCATTGATGGTTTTGAAATTTCACCCTGCAAGAAAAGGAAGACCTGAAGCATCCAAATGAATCCTTCAGTTCAAAATTTCAGGTCTCAGTCACACATTTCAGGCAAAAGACAACATTGCTATGTTTAAGAAGATATAGGCAACTGGCCGGGCACAGTGGCCCACGCCTGTAAGCGCAGCACTTTGGGAGGCTGGGGTGGGTGAATCACGAGATTTGGAGTTCAAGACCTAGCCTGGCCAACACGGTAAAACCCCGTCTCTACTAAAAATACAAAAATTAGCCATGCGTGGTGGTGCGCACCTGTAATCCCAGCTACTCAGGAGGCTGAGGCAGGAGAATTGCTTGAACCTGGGAGGTGGAGGTTGCGGTGAGCCGAGATCACACCACTGCACTCCAGCCTGGGCGACAGAGCAAGACTCTGTCTCAAAAAAAAAAAAAAAAAAAAAGATACAGGCTCTTAAGGAAAAATGGTTGGAGAGGGTGATACATACGGGGTACCTCCTCCTGCAATTTGGCTGGGGATTATGATGGGAAAGGGGAAGCCCTGTTTTCACTGTTCACTAGGAGTGAATTCTAAGACAAAATTATTTGTAGGCTGTGCATGGTGGCTCATGCCTGTAATGCCAAGACTTTGGGAGGCCAAGGCTGGCGGATCAGTTGAAGTCAGGAGTTCAAGACCAGCCTGGCCAACATGGTGAAATTCCATCTCTACTGAAAATAAAAAAATTAGCTAGATGTGGTGGCATGCACCTGGAGTCCCAGCTACTCAGGAGGCTGATTCATGAGAATCGCTTGAACCCAGGAGGCAGAGGTTGCAGGGAGCTGAGACTGTGCCACTGTGCTCCAGTCTGGGTGACAGAGCGAGACCCTGTCTAAAAAAAAAAGATTATTTGTAGGTAGAGTGTAGTTTATTGTAATAGAAGGCAACTTGTTCTCAAGTTGACATTTGCATCTTCATGACAAATTTCAGAACACTCCAAATATTTAAATTGATTTTTACTCCGTTTTATTCCTCCATTTTGATCTAGAGCAATGAATTGCTCTACAGCATTTGCAGGAAAGCAAGATTTAAGGTTAGAAGTCTTTAAACAAATAAAAAGTTGATTATCTAAAGATACAGATTAATTAATCTGCCTTTTCTAGAACTAGCTCCTTTAACATAACAGTAAGAATATTGACTGAACTATTAGCAGATCTCTAAATAAGATAAAAACTAGGCTGTGACAATTTTTAGTGTGAAAAAAAAAATGGACCAGGATGAAATTATATTATTTGGTTTTGTTCTCAGGCAGATCAAAGTATTTCTGAACATAAAAAAGTTATTCAATGTATGAATCAAGCTTATGCTATTCTCTGGAAAATGTGCAATACCCACCCTGCTGAAATTCCCTTGCTGTTGGGAAGATGGATCCTTGTGAAGAATGCACTGTCAACTGAAAGGCTGAATGGGAGGGAAGGCAGAGACCATACTGGGTGTCTGCCTGCTATGCCTGCTATGTGCTCTCATTTACTCCTTTTTTTTTTTTTTTTTTTTTTTTTTGAGGCAGAATCTTGCTTTGTTGCCCAGACTAGAGTGCAGTGGTGCAACCTCAGCTCACTGCAACCTCCACCTTCTGGTTTTAAGCGATTCTCATGCCTCAGCCTCTGGGGTAGCTAGGATTACAGGCGTGTACCGCAATGCCCGGCTAATTTTTCTATTTTCATTAGAGAAAGGGTTTCGCCATGTTGGCCAGGCTGGTCTCAAACTTCTGGCCTCAAGCGATTTGCCCACCTCAGCCTCCCAAATTGCTGCGATTACAGGCATGAGCCACCACACGCACCCGGCCTCATTGACTCCTAAGAGTCCTGTCAAACATGTCTCTTGTTTTTTTAGATGAGAAAACTGAGGCCCAGAGAGGCTAAATAACTTTTCTGAGGTTACCCAGACAAATAGAAACAGCCAGGATTCAATTCCCCATGTGACTCACTCGAAAAACAATGCTCTTTCTATTACTTCCCAATGTTATTAACACCCAATATATAAGGTTTGAGCAGTACTAGGAGATTAACAGATCCCGTGGCCAGGCGCCGTGGCTCATGTCTGTTATCCTAGCACTTTGGGAGGCCAAGGTGGACAGATCACTTGAGCCCAGGAATTTGAGACTAGCCTGGGCAACATAGTGAGACCCTGTCCCTACAAAAAAGAAACACAATTAGCTGTGTGTGGTGGTGCGTGCCTGTGGTCCCAGTTATTCAGGAGGCTGAGGTGGGAGGATTGCTTGAGGCTGGGAGGTCTCAAGGCTGCAGTGAGCCATGATCGAACCACTGCACTCCAGCCTGGGCAACAGAGTGAGACCCTATTTCAAAAAAAAAAAAAGAGAGAGAAATAAAAAGAAAAAAGGCAATTACCTTGTGCAATTGACAAGCCTTTCATTTTGCCAAAAAAAAAAGCAAGCTCTGGGCAAAAAGTGCAAGGCATGGCTTTTCTTGTTCATCTGGCCTACTTTCCTGTGTTTGGCTTTAGATCT